AGGGGCTCAGGAGAAAGCTGGGGAAGTAGCTGCTGTGCCCAAAGAGAGCCCCACTGTGGCGTCTGTTTGCGTGGGACGTTGTCCAGGCTGTTGTTGTTGTTCTGTTTTGGGAGGGCCTGGCCTCCCCCTGCTCCCCATCCACCCCCCACATGCGGGAGCCACAACTGTGCCAGCATTTTTCCGCCGAGCTCAGCAGAAATCCACAGAGAAGGTCAAGGACCAGGGAGAGGGCCCATCCATCAAGAGAGGAGCTGCTCTGCTTTCCAGCGCAGAGGAGATGAAAAGAAGCAAAACAAACACAGGCCAGCCCGCCCCAGCTGCCCGCCCGCCCACCACCCCCAGAACAACTATGCCTGTGCAGGAGTTTTACAGCCAACTTGCTTAATGTGATTACAATAATGATTTCTTTACTAGAAGTTGTGTAAACAGCCTCTTGTGAAACCCTAGGGGGAGGGTGGTGTGGATGTGTGCACACGCGTGCACGTGAGAGGTACATGTGCACATGTGTGTGGCATGCGGGATGGGTGTGTTTCCTGTCCGCGTGTGCACGTGTGTGCTATTTGGCTTCCTGTCTGTCCGTGTGCGTTTATGAACAGGAGTACCGTGTGCACTTGGCTTGTACTTGGCACTGTGTGTGTGTGTGCATGTGTGTGTGCATGCGTGTGCGGACAGATGTGATCTCAAGCAGCACAAACATGACATGTGCACAAGTGCACCATGGTGCCTACATGTGATTTGCACATGCGTGTGCATGTGCGTGTGTGTAAACCCCAGCCTGGGGATGGGGGTGGGGAGGGGGAGGTGCCCATCCTTCTTGGCCCCTTGTCCCCCACCCTCTGGCCTCCTGAGCCTCCCATCCCCCCTCCCCTTCATGGACCTCCCGCCCCCTCTCTGGGGGCTTCCTCCCCGAAACCTGACCTTGCTGTGGGGCCCTCATGTTTGTCTCCACCCTGCCTCCTGCCTCCTCCCGCTCTGCCCCCAGTTCTGAAATCTTGCTTTACTTCCCGCATGGCCGCTGACCCGCAAGGGCTTTGGAATCTGTTGGAAGAAACCCCTTTTCTCTGGGGCCAATGTAAACAGCCATCGTGTTAAATCAGCTCTCTTCCTCTCTGCTCTGCCGGCCCCTGGGGCGGGCTTCGGGGGAGCGAGCCCCTCCGCTCACAGCCTGGGGGGGCATGGCCGCGGCCCTGCCCACCAGCCCTGGCCCTCTGCCCAGAGCCGGAGGCCATCCATCCCACGGCCCCACCTGGACCCCCTCTAACCTTTCCCTTCCAGCCCAAACCCACATGGCCTCCTGCCCGAGCCTCACAGGCCTCCAAGTCACAGGCCTCCGAGTCCTGTCAAAGCGCCTCAGAAACACCTTTCCATCCGCCTGCCTGCGGGGTCCAGCCCCAGCCCCCCCCCCATCATGGGATCCTGGGGCCTCTGTGTCAACACCAGGGCCTTGGCCAGGCCCACGATTGTGCCTGAAATCCCGGCCAGCGCCGCCCCCCCTTTGTGAGCCGGCCCCCCCCACCCCAGCGCTCCCTGCGGGCCGGGCCACGTGTGTGGGCAGAGCCTGGCTCGGCAGTCCTCCCTGGGGTCTGCCTGTGCCCCGCAGGCCATGGCTGCTTTCAGAGAGGCCTTGAGAGGACGCTGCTGTCACCACAGGAAGAGGGCCTGCGTGGGACTGCCAGGCTCAGCTGCGTACAAAACAAGTGTGGGCGGGGTGAGCCGGGGGGCTTGGGCCTCCGCAGGCCGGCCTCCCCTTCCCGGGACATGTTCCTAAGTGTCCCACCAAGAGCCTGCGGAGCGCCCTGGTGGGCCTCAGCCCAGCCAGCCCAGGCGATGCCCCCGGCACGGGCTCCACTCCCTCAGGCCTGCCCTCTCGCTGAGGCCAGGCTTCCCCTCACACACGGCCGCTCCCTCTGCAGAGCCTGTGCCATTTGACCCATTCTGGAGATGTCTCCAGCCTCCTCCCAGCCCACGGCCCCCCCACACCAGCCCCCTACACTGGCCCTCCACACCGGCCCCCCACACCGGCCCCCCCCGCCGGCCCCCCACACCGGCCCTCCACACACACCTCCTCTGGAGGCCAGCCCCTACCTCTCTGCGTGCCTGGCTCCTCCCGGCCTCCATCTCCCTGAGCCTCTGGCTCAGGGCGGCAGCCTCTCTCTGGTGGGTGGAGCTGGCCGCCTCCAACTGGGCCTGCAGGGCGCTCAGCTCCTCCGCCATGGCGCCCACCGTGGCCTGGGGAGGCAGTGACCGGGGTCACTGGGGAGGGGTCAGGACCCAGGCAGGGCTCTCGCGCTGACCCCAGGCCTGGGGAGGCCGTGGCCGGGGTCACTGGGGAGGGGTCAGGACCCAGGCAGGGCTCTCGCGCTGACCCCAGGCCTGGGGAGGCCGTGGCCGGGGTCACTGGGGAGGTGGTCAGGACCCAGGCAGGGCTCTTGCGCTGACCCCAGGAGAGGCGTGCACAGGGCGCTCCTGTGTCAGGGGCAGGACCCCTCCCCACTTTACGCCTTCCGGGGGATGGGGGCAAACTGCCACCGCCTGGCCCAAGACGGTCCTGCCCGCCCAGCTGGGAGGAAGGAGGGTCAGCAACGTGCACAGGCCAGCCACAATGGCCCTAGACCTCTGTGTCCCCAGCCGGGCAGCGGGACTGAGGCCGGGCCTCTGTCCTCACCAGGCGTGCTGCCCGCTCAGGCCTCGCTGGGCACAGGGTACCTCAGGGCCTGCGTCACCCCTTGTCACCTGTAAGAGATGCCCCAGCCACCAGTGTGGGGTACAGAGCTGCAGCGGGGGTGAGGGAGAGCTGGCTGCTGCTGGTCCCCTGACCCCGGCCACTGGTGTCTGGAACCATCCAGTGGGCAGGTGGAATTAGGGGACGTCTGTTCCTGACAACTGTGAACACGTGCGGACCACTGCGGGCCGGTCAGCCGCTGCCCCGGCTGACAGCTCTGCTGGCACACCAGACTCAGCAGCCCACGTCTGCTCTCCCTGCTGACCACTTCTGACCACTGTTGACCACAGCTGGTCACTGCTGGCCACTGCTGATCACTGCTGGCCACTGCTGATCATTGCTGATCACCGCTGGCCACGGCTGATTGCTGCTGGCCACTGCTGACCACCAGGTACCCAAAGGAAAGGTCCTCAGGTCCACTTGGCCAAGGGCAGGGTTTGAAACACCTCCCTATGCACAGACAAGATGCCAAGCTGCTCAGCCTGGACGCATTCTGCTGAGGCTGACCAGCCTTCTGAGGGGACTGTCCTCTCCTGCTCCTGAACCGGGCCAGGGCAGTGGGGGTGGGCAGCGGGGATGGGCAGTGCCTCAGGCTCCCTCCCAGCCGCAGTGGCAGAGTTTGAGTCAGGGAGGCTTCCCCACCTGATTACTGGCCTGTGGCCTGTGGGCTGTGGGATTGTGGGCTGTGGCCTTTGGCCTTTGGCCTGTGGGCTGTGGCCTTTGGCCTGTGGGCTTGTGGCCTGTGGGCTGTGGGCTTGTGGCCTGTGGGCTGTGGCCTGTGGGCTGTGGCCTGTGGGCCTGTGGGCTGTGGGCTTCTGGCCTGTGGGCCTGTGGGCTGTGGCCTGTGGGCTTGTGGCCTGTGGGCTGTGGGCTGTGGGCCTGTGGGCCTGTGGGCTGTGGGCTGTGGGCCTGTGGCCTGTGGGCCTGTGGCCTGTGGCCTGTGGCCTGTGGGCCTGTGGCCTGTGGGCTGTGGCCTGTGGGCTTGTGGGCTGTGGGCCTGTGGGCTGTGGCCTGTGGGCTTGTGAGCTGTGGGCTGTGGGTATGTGGGCTGTGGGCCTGTGGCCTGTGGGTATGTGGGCTGTGGGCCTGTGGCCTGTGGCCTGTGGGCATGTGGGCCTGTGGCCTGTGGCCTGTGGGCTGTGGGCCTGTGGGCCTGTAGGCCTGTGGGCTGTGGGCATGTGGGCTGTGGGCCTGTGGGCTGTAGGCCTGTGGCCTGTGGGCTTGTAGGCTGTGGCCTGTGGGCTTGTAGGCTGTGGGCTGTGGGCTGTGGGCATGTGGCCTGTGGGCTGTGGGCTGTGGGCATGTGGGCTGTGGGCCTGTGGGCCGTGGGCCTGTGGGCTGTGGCCTGTGGGCTTGTAGGCTGTGGGCTGTTGGCTTGTAGGCTGTGGGCTGTGGGCTGTGGGCCTGTGGGCTGTGGGCTGTGGGCTGTGGGCCTGTGGGCTGTGGGCTGTGGGCTGTGGGCTGTGGCCTGTGGGCCTGTGGGCTGTGGGCATGTGGGCTTGTAGGCTGTGGGCTGTTGGCTTGTAGGCTGTGGGCTGTGGGCTGTGGGCTGTGGGCTGTGGGCTGTGGGCCTGTGGGCTTGTAGGCTGTGGGCTGTTGGCTTGTAGGCTGTGGGCTGTGGGCTGTGGGCCTGTGGGCTGTGGGCTGTGGGCTGTGAGCCCGTGGGCCTGTGCAGCTCAGGAGCCGGGGGCGGGGCAAGCACAGGTATGGAGCTGGCCTGGTGTTGCAGGAGCCCTGGGCATCCTGTGGAGACATGTCCCCAACCCTGTCTACTGCAGGCTACTGCCCATGGTCACTCATCAGGCCAAGCCCACATCTGTCGGTTCAAGGCCACTCCCATCAGCTTTGACTCCCGCTCTGAGCAAAGGAGCCGTGGCGGTGCTGCCTTTGGCCCCTGGTCCCCACCATCGCTCTGGGCCGGCACAAGTCATCTTGGCGGCAAGGTCGTGGCTCCGTGAGGCTGCGGCCCTGGGGTGGACTCAGGGGACCCGCTGTGGGAGGTGGTGGTGACTCAGGCCCTGAGGCCCCCTGTGTGTCCCTGGCTCCACTCCCCGTCACCCACAGCTGGTGTTTCTGGCTGTACTTCCCCCTCTCTGTGGGTTTGAAGTTCTATTTTCTGAGCTGAGGTGGCAAAAGAACCCTTAATGAGCCCCTCAGGGAGCCCCGTTGGCAGGCCTGGTCCCAGCCCAAGGGGGCGGCTTGGCCAGCACAAGAAAAGGCTCTGTAAGCAGTGCTCCCGCAGAGGCTCCGGGCTGGCAGCTGCGGCTCCCCGAGAGTCAGGAGGCTTTCCTGGTTTTCTGCCCACAGCTGGAGAGGAAGTACAGCCTCGGGCCGAGGTCACAGCCCTCCCGGCCAGAAGAGCCTTCCAGGCCTGTGCGTGGGGCAGAAACTGGTGTGTGTGGGGCGGGGGAGTGAGGCTGGGAGCATGGGCGCTTTCTGGTAAGATCGGCAGAACTGGTGAGCCTGAGGCCCGCCCTGCTCGGCCCAGGGGCTCTGAGCAGGGGTGAGGCCCGCCCTGCTCGGCCCTGAGGCCCGCCCTGCTCGGCCCAGGGGCTCTGAGCAGGGGTGAGGCCCGCCCTGCTCGGCCCTGGGGCTCTGAGCAGGGGTGAGGCCTTCCCGCTCGGTGGGCGAGGGTGAGGCCCCCATCGCTCTTGCCCTGCTCACCACTCTGGGGCCGACCCCATGGTCAGAGCTTCCCCAGGCCACCTGCCTCCCCCTGCCCGCCACCCCTGCCCAGTGCAGACAGCAGGAGCAGAGGCTTTGCAGAGGACCGTGCCAGCTCCCTCTGGATGGACTGTCCAGTGGCTCCCACGCCTCGTGCACGTCACCTGCAAGGCTCCACCACCCTCAGCACGGCACACAGACAGACAGACAGACAGGCCCACACTGTGTGGCCCAGCAGTTGGCCTGCTGGCTGGTAGGTGACCTGGCCTGGCCCTCCCCCCCGGCCATGGACAGCTTCCAGGGCAGGGAGTCCTAAGACCCAGGGCTGCTGTGGAAAGGGGCCTGAATGCAGTCTCGGTTTCCCCAGCCATCTAGAGAACAGTCTCCTTTACCAAAGACCTGAAAATACCAGGGAAACTGAGGCTCAGGAAGGCACGGGGCGGAGCCAGGCTGCTGGGACTGGGCGGGAAGGGTGCCCTGGGGTCTGGGCCCCTGCCGGGCCGGCACGGCAGGCCGGGTCGCGTCTCACCTCAGCTTGTGCCTGCCGGCTCCGGGCCTCCTGCCGCACCCTCTCCAGGGTCCGCACGGCTCTGGAGAGCTCGCCGCTCAGCTCCGTCCTCTCCGCCTCCTTCATGGACAGCGCCTGCACGGGTTGGGGCATGAGAGCAGGTCCCAGGGGAGGGGTGATCCCTCCTTCCCCAGGGCTGGGCGACCACGGCGCGTCCTTCCTACACTGTGCTGCCGGGAGGCCTTCGCCCGAAACATGCGCTCTCTTCCCGCTGCCCCCATCACGTCCACCCCCAGGCCCGTCCCACTGCCCCCATCGCATCCACCCCCCAGGCCCGTCCCGCTGCCCCCCATCACGTCCACCCCCCATCACATCCACTCCCCCATCGCATCCACCCCCACCACATTCACCCCCATCGTGTCCACCCCCATCGCATCCACTCCCCCATCGTGTCCACCCCCATCGCGTCCACTCCCCCATCGTGTCCACCCCCATCGCGTCCACTCCCCTATCGCATCCACCCCCCATCGCGTCCACCCCCATTGCGTCCACTCCCCCATCATCGCGTCCACCCCCATCGCGTCCACTCCCCCATCGCATCCACTCCCCCATCGCATCCACTCCCCCATCGCGTCCACTCCCCAGGCCTATCCCACTGCCCCCATCGTGTCCACTCCCCCCATCGCGTCCACCCCCCAGGCCAGTCCCACTGCCCCCCATCACATCCACCCCCATCACGTCCACTCCCCCCATCACATCCACCCCCCAGGCCTGTCCCACTGCCCCCCATGGCGTCCACTTCCCAGGCCCGTCCCACTGCCCCCCACCGTGTCCACCCCCCATCGCATCCACCCCCCCATCGTGTCCACTCCCCAGGCCCATCCCACTGCCCCCACATTCACGTCCACCCCCCCCATCGCGTCCACTCCCCAGGCCCGTCCCACTGCCTCCCATCATGTCCACCCCCCATCGTGTCCACCCCCATCGCGTCCACCCCCCCCATCGTGTCCACCCTCCAGGCCCGTCCGCAGGGTCCTTGTCCGGCGCTTTCCAGGGCAGATCTGGGCTTTATGCCCCCAGCCCCATGTCTTCAGGCAGAGTCCTACAATGCACCGCAAGGAGCGGGGATGGAGGTCATTCTCCCACACGCCTGCCTTGTGGGTGACATGAGCCGATACTCGGCCCGGCGGAGGGAGGCTGAGCTTTGCTCCAGCTCCAGGGTGGAACGCTGCTCCTGGGCAGGGCTGCGGAGGGTGGAGGACGGCATTAGTGCCCATCCAATGCCCTCGGACCGTGTGTGTGCTGCGGCACAAGGCAGGGTCCCGCCGGGCCGTTTACCGCAGGGCCAGATGCGGGGCTCACGCCTGCAATCCCAGCTACACAGAAGGCAGAGGATGGAGCACATGGTCCAGGTCAGCCCTGGGCGAAAAGCACCACAGCCTGTCTGAAAAAGAGCTAAATAACGCTCAGAAGGGCTGGGGGCCTGGCTCACGTTGCAGAGCACCTGTCCAGCAAGGGCAGGGCCCGAGTTCAAACCCTAGTACTTCCAAAACAAGACAATAAGTAAAACGGCAGCAGTCAGCGTGGAACTTTCTTGAGTTTTGGGCTTCATTCTAGTGCACTTGCATACTGTGGTCCCGTTGGTCAGAAGTGTGGGTATCCTGGAGATTGGGCCGCCGCCTCAGCTGGATGTGGGGCTGAGCCTGTCACTGCGGGGCGGCTGGGCTGGCTTCAGGAGGTGGGCGTGAGCATGCGCCGTGGCACTGCAGAGCAATGTAAGAACACGGACCACAACTCCCCGAGGAGCGGGAGGGGTCGGCGTGGGGGCTCTGCCTTGAATGGCCTTCAAAGCACCCATGCTTCCTCCCGGGCCCTCCGCTTCCTGGAGCCTGGGCTTGCTTTGTTTTCCCTGCTCTCCCAGCTCTTCAGGAATCCGCCCTTCCTGGACTGTGAGGGCGAGAAATCTGGCAGCCACGGGCCTCGGGCTTCTCTTTGCAAGCAGATGTGAGCGGCCACAGCTCAGCCCCCGCAGGCTGCGGAGCTGGAAGAGTGGAGGGGAAGATGGTCCCCAAGCCGTGTGCTGCATCTTCACAGGGCAGTGCTCTTCTCTGCCAAGGCCTTGGTTCCCGGGGAGGTCTGTACACCTGGCCGTGGCGTCCTCGCCTTTCTAATCCGACGCGGAGGCCCAGGGAGTGTCCTTCAGCTGAAGTGACGAGACTCCTGCAGGCCTGGCCTTCTGCACGGTGTTGCTGTGGGTGCAGGAAGGCCATGGCTTGCAGAGCCTGTCCATCTTCTTAGCCTGTTTCCTCTGACTGAGCTCACCTTTCCTCGGGCTCAGTGTGACCCCGAGAAGCTGTGATTGTAGAAACACGAGGGGCGGCGTGGCCCAGCTGGTGGTCTTGGGTGGGAGCAGGGGGCTGCATGGGGCCCTGAGCCTCCACAGCCTCCTCCCATGCATGGCTCTCCTGAGCCTCGCACATCAAGGCCACCGCCTCGGGGGTCTCTGCCGCCACCCAAGTCCTTAGCCTCCTGCTGCTCTCCCTGGCTGCAGACTCATTCCCGCAGCCCTCTGCAATCACCCCTGCTCACCGGCGTGCCTGAGCTGGGTGTGTGAAACCCGTGACGCCCTGCGCTCCTGGCTGCCTGCTCACACGCAGCCTGTGCCGCACAGACGGCAGGCTGTCCCGACTCCTTTCGTGCCCCACCATCTCCTGTGCCTTCTCTAAGGCCTCTGCTTTCTACCTCAGGAGCAGAGGGGCAGGCAGGAAAGAGTGTGGGCCTCGGTGCCCAGCGGTGTCGCTGCGCCCTAGACCAGCGATGGACCTGGGAGGATCTCAGATTTCCCCACTAAAACGGGGCTTCTAACAGCTTTGTGGGGGACAATGAGCAGCGTGGAGTCTGACCGGAAGCCCCGGCTCTTCCAGCCACCGCAGCTCCTCCCTGCAACCCGTAACGTGCACCCATGAGGTCTTTCCACAGCAGCGATGGGCATACGGATGTGTGTGGCCCTTTCTGAGTCTGTCTGTGGGATGGGAAGATGCCCAGGGTGTGTGCGTCTGAGTTGGCAGTCCAGAGGGAGACATTGAGAGTTGAAGGCCTGACTCGGTCATCAGGCTGAGTGGACAGAGCACGTTAGGTGGATGGACAGTTGGGTATGGAAGTGGACAGAGCATGTTAGGTGGATGGACAGTTGGGTATGGAAGTGGACAGAGCATGTTAGGTGGATGGACAGTTGGGTATGGAAGTGGACAGAGTATGTTAGGTGGATGGACAGTTGGGTATGGAAGTGGACAGCTGAGTGTGTAGACAGTGGAAAGGATATTTCAGTGAGTGGATGAAGGGATGGTCGGATGAGTGGCTGAATGGATGGCTGGGTAGTTCATGGGTACATGGCCAATGTGTAGGTGGACATCTCGGGTGTGTGTGAGTGAACAGACGTGTGGTCAGATGTGTAGATGGACACCTTGGGTATGGGGATGCTGGTCTTATATGGAGTGGATACTGGAAGTGTGGGAAGGAGATGAATTTTCAGGTGAGTGGAAGGATGATGCACAAGTGAGCTGAGGGATGAGTGGGGACTGGGTGAGTGGTTGGGAGTGTGTATGAGTGTGTGGATGCATGGATGTTGCATGGACATGTGGTGGGTGAGTGTGTGGATGAGTGTGTGGTGTAGGAACGGACAGATGAACCAGTGAGATGAATGGGTAGATAGGTCTGTGAATGCTGTGTAGGTGGCTAGGTGTGAGTATACATGCATGGTGTGTGGATGTTGCATGGATGGTGTATGCATGTACACGCGTGGATGAGCAGGTGGTGTTCATCAGTCTATAGGTGTGAGTATACATGCATGGGGTGTGGATGTTGCATGGATGGTGTATGCATGCACATGCGTGGATGAGCAGGTAGTGTTCATCAGTCTATAGGTGTGAGTATACATGCATGGGGTGTGGATGTTGCATGGATGGTGTATGCATGCACATGCGTGGATGAGCAGGTGGGTGTTCAACAGTCTATAGGTGTGAGTATACATGCATGGGGTATGGATGTTGCATGGATGGATGTGCACACATGGATGAGCAGGTGGTGTCTGTCTCTCAGGACTGCTTTGAACACTAAAGCAGCGGGGTCTGTTGCCTGGGTAGGCCTTGTGAGGGCCTGTGCTGGGTCCCGGCGGATGGTGAGCTGGTGGGCCCCTCCGCCCTCGTCACCTGCTGCATCTCGTGCTCCAGTTGGAGGAGGCTCTCGTCCCGCTCCTGTTTCAGGCTCTGAATTTCCTCCTCCAGAGCCTCCTTCTCAGCTGCGCTTTTTGCCATCAGCTCTGTCTTCTGCTTCAGTTGGTGTGCGGCCTCCTCCTTCTCTTCTGACAGGCATAGACTGAGGGTCTCCTGGCCAAGGCAAAGGACACACTGTGAGGTCAGGGATTGGGGACCAGCAGGTGTCTTGGGACCAAAGAGAGACTCACCCCACAGGACACCAAGGCTGGAAGGGCCTGCCAGCTGCCCTTCCCTATGCTTCTCCAGAGTACCCCAAGCAGGAGCTGGGGAAGGCCTCTCTCTAGGTCCTGGCATCCACCATCCTAAATTAATCTAACAGGTCCTACGTTTCTTCTGGACCTCTACCATGTCCCATGACAGGCAGGGGTATGGATGGATGCATGGATGAGTGGATGCATGTGGATGGATGGATGGATGGATGGATAGATGGGTGGATGGGTGGACGGTGGATAGATGAGTGGATGCATGTGGATGGATGGATGGATGGATGGATAGATGGGTGGATGGGTGGACAGTGGATAGATGAGTGGATGCATGTGGATGGATGGATGGATGGATAGATGGGTGGAGGGTGGACGGTGGATAGATGAATGGATGCATGTGGATGGATGGATGGATGGATAGATGGGTGGATGGGTGGACGGTGGATAGATGAGTGGATGCATGTGGATGGATGGATGGATGGATAGATGGGTGGATGGCTGGACGGTGGATAGATGAGTGGATGCATGTGGATGGATGGATGGATGGTTGGATTGATCACTGGATGGATAGAGGGTTGGGTGGATGGGTGGATGGGTGCATGGGTAGATAGGTGGGTGGGTGTGAGGATGGGTGGATGGATGGGTGGATGGGTGAATGGGTGCATGGGTAGATGACTGGATGGGCAGAGGAGTGGATGGGCAGATGGATGTGTGCATGGTTTGTTCTAGATAGGCATGGCCTTGTCTCGTGTCCAGCCTTCAGCCAGGGCAGCCAAGTTCAAGGCCTGGTCTCTTCTGTGAGGCTGGGCACCCACACCACTCCTGTGGCAGCTTCCCAGGGGAAGGCCTGGTGCGGCTCACAGGAGCTGAGGGCAGTCCGCCTCCACCCCACCCCTTCCCGGGGTCAGGGCACACCGCAGAGGCGGACCTTCTCCCGCTGGAGCCGGGCCAGGTCGTCTCGGTGGGCTGACTCCAGGGTCTGCAGGGCCTGCTGTGTGTCCTGCTCCTCCTGTGCCAGCTGCTGCCGCAGCGCCATCTCCCGGGCCTCCCAGTCCTTCTTCAGCCGCTCTGTCTCCACTGTGAAGTGACAGGCATGTCCCCACCTGCCTGCAGGCCTCGCCAACCCCCACGGAGAGATGCGTGCTCTGTCTGCCGCCAGCAGGGGGCGGGGGTGTGAGAAGGGGTGCTGGCACAGGGAATGGGGGGAGGGCGCTGGCTGCACCCCAGTCCTGAGCCCAGGACCAGCACCAGGGCAGGCTGAGCAGGGCACCTGTGCCATATAGACAAGGAGCAGCCGATTCCTTCAGGCCCCGGCATTCAGGGAATGAGAGCAGCTGTTGGGGCACTGGGCTCCTCCCAGCCCGGGCTGGGTGGTGGGAGAAGGGGAGGGGAGCCGCCCGCCGGAGCGCCGCCCCCAGAGCACCTTGCAAGGCCTGCCAGCCCAGCTGGGCATTCTGTGCCTCTCTCTCCAGCTGCTCCTGTTGGGCCCGCAGCTGCTTCGCCAGCCCGCGGGCCTCAGAGAGGCTGCTCTCCAGACAGTCCCTCTGGACCCTGCAAAGCAGCATGGGGTGACAGGCCGCCCGTGGGAGGGGCGGGAGGGGCGGATGAGCCTGGGGCAGGTGGGAGATGAGAAAACCAACAGGCCTCTCGGCTCCCTGAGAATGAACTTCAGGTGGAACAAAAGGGGAAATACAAAAACAAAAATAAACTTTACTCACAGCAACTAACTCAGAAAAAAACTTACAGTCTTCGTAAGCAAAAGAAAAGGAAAAAAGAAAGAAGAAAGAAGAAGCCAGCAGAGCCACACGGAGGGAAGGGGGCTGGGCCTCCTGGGAGGAGCCCGTGAGCCACCTTAGAAGACAGCAGCGGAGCTGGAAGGAAATCCGCCCCAAACACACGAAACAAAGCATCGGTCATAGGCAAAAAGCTCCTGCCAATAAATCACAGAACGTCAGTTGATCCTACAGAAAACATGAGAAAGATGAGTGTTAGTCACAAAGGAAAGACAAGGATCTACAAACAGGAAACCTGCTCCTCCTGCGAGAGCCCGGGGACTCAGGTCACAGCCGGGCAGTGGCGCGCATCGCCCAGGAGATCAACGGAAACTGGCACAGTAGCAACGTGCAGTGTTGGCAGGGGCTCTTTTGGGAGGCCCAGACGGGATTCTGTTTGACTTTCTGATTCTACGTCAGGAGTAGGGGTGTTCTGGAGAAACGCTGGCTCCAGGGGTGCTCGCCGTGGCTTTCCACAGGGCAGTACTTGGACTTGACCAAAGCGCCAACACAGAGGAGAACGTTTTGGGCATTTAAACTTTCTGGGCTCTGGAGCACCACGCAGGTGTTAACAAGGATGAGAACCTCCTTGCCGTGGGAGGAGTCACCCCCCAAACGAGCCGCCAAGCTGCAGCTCCGCGTGCCGCATGCCCTGCGTGCGTGCACACAGGCACCATCGGTCAGAAAGCACCTGTAACAACACACACCAACGCACACCAGTGCCTGTTCCCCGGAGGGGGAAACAATGGCTTGAAGGACTGACCACCTGTCACCGTCCACCGGGGCTGAGTCCGCACACAGGGAGAAATCAGCCGAGGAGAGGCACGGACACTCGGGGGTCGAGCACAGTGCACACACCACAAATCCCCAGGCGATGCCCTATCAACCCCGGCAGGCCCTGCTGCAGTCCCTGCACCCCGTATGCTGCTGCCCGTCCCAGGGGCAGAGCACCTGGGTGCTGAACCCCCAAAACCTTGCTGTGCCACAGTATCTGGCTCCAGTCCCAGTCCCTCCCCTGTAAGCACCATGTGTCACTGGCTACTTGTGAGTGCTCAGGACTTAGTACTCCTTCCCTCTGGAAGAGGGTACTCCTCCCCACGGGGAACACAGAAAATCCTCCTTTCATGTTGGCCTTGAATTCTCCCCTCCTGAAGCCTGCCTTGTCTCCTCTGGAGGACGTGGACTTGGCTTCTCGCATGGCTTTGCTACAGCCTGGGAATGCCCAGGTCCTCAGGACGTCGTCCCGAGGCTCTCTCCGGACCTACACCTCTTCCAGATGACCCGGCACCCGGCACCCCTCCCTTCCAGACACCCCAGGTCGCAGCTGGTGCACACTCTCCCTGCCTCACC